TTCGTGATGATTGTATGATGATGCATCCTTTAAGTGATGAGGATGCTGATGTCAACTTCTTCGCTTTGGGACATTTTGTTTTGTATTTAAACGAGTTGATGAATTGACTTGATGGTTAATGAAAAGCAAAACATCAGAGTTTGTAGATGTTTTGGAGGGAATAGAAATCGGACATGGCGTTCTCAATAATCGCAATTATTAAAACCTTATTTCCTACACAAGCGCAGTAAAAACAAAATGATGAATTATTAAGGAACAACTTTATTGGGTATCTGCACTAAGATCGGATGTATTGTTATTGATTTTAAGAACGGTCAACTCATCAGCGGAGGAACTTGAACGGCTGACTGGAGGTTTAGTTGGAAGAGTTTCAACAGGATTCTCTTGAAGTTCTTCAATCTTTGGAATTGGATTATCATGATGTTTGTCCTTTAACAGGTATGTTTTCATTTCACCTTTTCCTTTAACATAGATTGATTCTCTTTCTTCAAATTCATATCCCAAATCGAATACTCTTTCATAGGTTGCTCTGGAGATTTGAATTCTTCCTGGAACACCTGTTGATTCCATTCGAGAGGCTGTATTGATTGTATCACCCCACAAATCGTAAGCAAATTTTTTAGTTCCAATAACACCTCCAACACATGGTCCTGTGTGCATTCCAATTCTCAAATTCACTTCCTTTCCAAATTTAATATTGAAATCTCTCAAGAATGAATAAACTGAGATTGCAAACTTTAACATTCTTTCAGGATGATCAGATGATTTTGAAGAGTGCGTTCCTGAAACTGCAAAGTAAGCATCTCCAATAGTTTTGATCTTGTCAATCAAATATTTCTCAGTCAACTTGTCAAATTCATTCACAATTGTATTCAACATCATCACCAATTGATCTGCTTCCATTCCTGATGACATTTTGGTGAAACCAACCATATCAGAGAAGAAAATCGTAACATCTGCAAACTTTTCTGCAATGAAAGTCTCTCCTTGTTTCAATCTATTGGCAACCGGTAATGGCAAAATATTCAACAATAACTCTTCACTCTTCTTCTTTTCCTCACCTAGCAAGGAAGCGTGCTTTTTAACTTGAGTGATGTCCTTAACAAAGCAAGATAAGATTGGTTTACCTAGGTAGTGACTGATAGAGAGAGAAATCAAAGCAGGGAAAGTTGTCTTGTTCTTTCTCAATCCTGTCACTTCGAATGTATCAGCAGAAGTATTATTGGTATT